GGGGGGGGGAGTTTGTTTGCTTTACAAACTCAGGTTTTAGAGCCTAACGCTTAGCTAACGTTAACCCTACCCTACCCTAAACCCTAACTATTCTAACCCTAACCCTAAATCAAGCAACCCTAGCCCCTGTCTTAGGCTATATGAACCCTAACTCTTGCATAAGGCTGGAACTAACCCTATGCCGCTAAAGTTTGGGGGAGGGGAGGGTACAGTCTGTAAGTAAATGTCGACTTTTTTTCCGATTTTTAAAAGGAAATCACGAGAAATAACTAGCAAACATGATTATTTAGACCAGAAACAAATGATTGAAGCGATTTTTTGTCAATTTTTCGAAAATTTCAAAAATACCCTAAATCGTCACTTACGCCGTTTTCGCATCCGCCCCTTCAATTGCACTTACCAATATCAGCAGGAGAAGGTACCAAACAAAAAAAGATAATGATTCCAGCAGCAAATAAGATCACTGATGGCAACATCATAGAATACTGCATTAAAAGAGCAAAAACTATGAACACAAAAAATAWTATAAATTGAACTGGGATTCCTGTGTACTATATGCTCTGCATTCTTGTGTTTGTTTGAATATATAAAGCCCAATCCATTAAGTTAATGTTATTAAAACAATTTTTTATGCACACACAGAACATGCAGTTTAGTGGATTGTACATTGATGAACTGCATACAGTTGATGTTTTTAATCTTGTTCCAGAATTTTCAATTTCTATGTTGAAGATGTTCCCGTAATGAAAATATATCTTAAATTCATGTTTTCCAAACTCTGCAAACTAGTCAAAAGATATACACCTATTTGCAGAAACGTTGTCATAGAAAATAGAACATTTGAATTCAGTAAAAAGGAATGAATTAAAACAAGACAAAAGAAAGCGTTCAGACTYAGTGATCTTCTTTTGTCTTTTTAATTTATTCCTTTTTACTAAAATACAAATGTCCTATTTTTTATGATTTTTTTTTCGCAAGTAGGCRTATCTGGCAAACTCCACTACAAAAGTGGCAGAGGAATTCAGTGACCTTCACATAAATTAGACACTGATTTCATGACCATAAATTTCAAAGTTATATACTAAAAATAAGTATACCTCATAACCATACTTTAGAACTGCTGCAGCCTGGGGAAACAAAAATAATTTCATTAATCATAAATAAAATTAATTTCGTTTGTTTTCCTTGTTTTTGCTAAGATACAATGAATGGTGTACTGTCCTGCAAAATAGCACACATTTAATTTGTAGATACTAATCCTGGCAGAAATTCTTATGTTTATACAGTCTACATTATCATGTAAAAAATAAAGAATTATGATAAAGAAGGTAAAGAAAGAAAAGTCAAAGTGCAGCATACAAAATCAAATTTCACAACTAGACTGCTAATATTAAGGTTTCTTTTAAATAAAACAATTTAATTTCTTTAATTTATTTGTAATTATTTTCTTTTGTGTGATTTTACCAGCTCACTGGATACATTGTGTTAGCAACATAGAAATAATCAAATGTATTCTCTTTAATTTTTCTTTTTCTTAAGTTCTCAAACATGCAGTGCTATAAGATCTTTGATGAGAGACATCAGGATTTTACATTTTGAATAATAATGTAATGTGCCAATTGAAATTTCACTGAGATTAATGTTTGCATTTGCAAGAGAGTATATCATGTTAATTATTTATTATATATTCTATATCATCAGTAATTTCCAGATTTATTCAGAATGGAATAAAGCAAAACCCAGGTTTTGTGGTCTTGTATCTTGACAACACCCATGAATGTCAAGGCGTTGCCTTGGCCACAACCCTGGCTGCTGTTATTGGGTGTACTGTGTGTAGACCTTGGAAAGGTCAAATGCAACGGAAAAACCAATCCTATTTTTACGATTTCAAATGAAACTTTAAGTCAAGAGAATGTTATATTTTCATTTTGAGCAAATTTCTTCAAGTTTTACCTCAGTTTTTTAGCGATTACTTTTGGACTTCCGAAATCACTCCGAAGAACGTCAATATTTCCGCGCGAGGAATGGAATCGAGTGATGACGTCACAGATGGTGAGATGTGGTTTCAGCAAACAGTGGCATAGCGATGGCATAGGTGTTTGTTGGTTTCTTCGTTTGATTTTTACGTACGGTATAAGGTTTTAAATAATAATATCTCAAGAAGAACGACCAGTGAAGTTCGTCCATACCAATATGAGCCTATTGCAGCACTAGTTTACCGCCAGTTTCCATCATTCGGACGAAGAAGAATCGAGTTCGGAATACGATACTATTCAATCGCCGAGAAAGTGAGGAAAAATAGCTCTTTTTCTGTCGCTTTCTCGACAGATGAAAAAAACGTAAATCTGTTCGCAGAAGAGGAAAGCGATTATGATGCTGGTGAGATTTACGGAAAAGTGTTTCGTTATGAACTGTTTTTGAGGTTATTTTGTTATGAACTGCTCATTGTCTAGCAGCCAGTTCTTACACACTATCTAGCTTATACCTGTGCTAAGATCCACATTATGAAAATTTGTAAGCCAGCCTACAGGCATGTTGATTACGTTTTTAACTTAATGTGATTTCAATGTAGTCCTTCATTGTCATAATGTTCATTTTCTTTGATTATTTCTGAGTTATTTAACCAAACTGTAGAATTACCATTTCTTCTATCATGTATTGAGAGAAGGCTCTACTTCTAAGGTAAAGAGGTCATTCTTGCAATGGTCTAATGCTTCTCTTTTCATCTAGTATTTATTGCGTACCTTGTAACTTTGTAAAATTTTCACTCTTATATGAGCTGCAATAAAATCCTTTTACAATATCTGTTGAATTGTCTAGGTATTTTTAAATTTATTATCATCGACCACAAATGCGAAGGGTATGATTAAACTTATTTATTATTATCATTATTTAAATGCTATTGTTATCTGTCTTATTATGAAGTCAATGTCATTGTTAGTACTTGCTTTGTAAATTTGTAAACCTTTTTGGTTAGAGTGCATATATCAAGTTTCCCAAGAATGTGTCTGCCAAGTAAAAATTTTCAAAACACTTGCTAGAGAAAATAGAATAGAAAACTATAGCATAATTTAGCACATGCATAATTCTTATCTTTCAGTATTTATATCTGAGGAATTAAGAGCATCCACCTTATAGTTTGAACCTGATATTATATTTAAAGTCCATCTGTTGGGACAATTATTTTGCTTCCTAATAAAGTTCTGGCATTCTATACTTTTACATGTCATGCCTAAGTTCTGTTCTTTATAGGCGGTATTGTTATTAATATTAAGTATTATATGTTATTAAGTATTGTTATTCAAATCAAAATTATTCCAATTCAAATAAAATACATTTGAATGACAACTGTTRAGGTGTTATATGGAAATATGAAAGTAGAGATTTCCTTTTTTTCAAGAATTTGGATTTATATGTCCAGGCAGAAATTCAGATTGTTTTGTATGGGGTAGTCTAGTCCTAACTCCCAACCCCTTATCCTGTTATACATGTATACTGAATTTTAAACTTTCATATTTTATTAAATCCAAACAAATGAATTCATTCACAAGTAAAGCATGTGAAATTCTGTACAATTCTGTACCGTGACAACATGTGGTATGCTCTATATTTTGCACAAATCATGGCCAGGTGAGTCACATCTCCCATTCCTACCAAGATCAACAAAATCACCCTCAACACTTGTCAAATCTCATATTGCTCTGCCATGTTTGACCAATAGACCCCTTGCCGTTCATGGGAATGCAGCTCCAACTGGAGGACAAATGAATAGATTCTAGTTCMCRAGAGGATAAAAATCTTTTGTTTCGCCCTCCAGATGAAGCTGCTTTGACGTCACATRCAAGGGGTCTATAGCTGGAATAAGGTACAACCTTTGTATGTAATAGTATGTCCTAAACCCCAATGTGCTTGAAAAAAATGATAACCATTGCTGGATTACTTCCAGTGAGCAGTTTTGATGCTGTTAAAAGCATATTCCCCCAAGACATAAGGCCATGGCATGATTAGTATTCCAAATTATGTGATGTCCATTGATACATACAGTCATATGACCTCCAATGTGATCATAGTACCACTCTCCTTTCAGTGATAGATGGCTAAGCTTCTTTCTGGCATACATGGCAACTTTTGAAAATTTCTAATAAGCAGCTCTGGAATACAATAAACTTTTCTCCGAATAGACATGATTCAGTGTTTCCATGTGAGGTCTTATCCTTTTTTAGCAATTCTTCTTCATCTAAACCATAGTTAGACCTAAGGATATAAATATTGTCCATTGTTTTTGTTTGTAATAGACTAAACACTTAACGTGGTTCTTATATAATATAGCACTACTATAACCAGTCTTTGTCGTCATAATTGTCATAATCTCGACGTCGTCATATAAGCATATTTTTGAATGTCGATGTGGCCTTTCATTGTCAGTTTCAATATTGTCATTTTCAATATTACAAGCCACGGCTCTTAGGTGTTCAACTATGCTTTGCTTTATGGATTTCAAGATTCTAGTTACAAGAGAAAAAGGAAATACTATCTTTGAGTAAATTCTTACGTGTATTTTGAATTGTTTTCGAAATTGTTTTCAAAGGTTTCTCTACAAAGCCGGCGGTATTAACTTAACTTATCTTCAGTGTTGATCACTCAAACAAAATTGGCTATCAAAATCTACAATCTTACCATTTTTGTTAGTTGTTTTTTCGACAGTAGATGATTCGACAGTTGAAGTATGGGCATCTGCTTTCTCCACAATAAGAATGTCGAGTTTTTCTTCGTTTTATAGCATTAAAGACCATTAAAATTCTTGTCGAGCACGGCCTGTGTTCTGGTGGCGGGAAGTGTACCGTCGAAAAACCGGCACCATCTGTGACGTCATTGGAGGCGTCTCCGACTGACTTCCGATTAATTACCGAAAATGAACGACCGGTCAACGGAAATACAACACTTTTCAATCCCTGATATCTCGAAAAATAAAAATCTTCCAGTTTTCTCRCTTYRCRTATGTATTGAACATAGCAAGAACTTCTTTTTCCAAGTGTTGAAAAATCATCGAATTTTCCGTTGCATTTGACCTTCCACCGATGCTGGCACTACACGAACAAATTGAGAACAAAAAAGTGCCAGAAGTTTACAATCTTTTCATGAAATATTTGTGATCAAGGTGATTCCAGGTAGTACTATAAATTATATTTAGTATTATTTAAGTTTTTGATAATTATAAGGATGAAATGATTCAAACCTCCAGACTCCCAAGTATGTTTCCAACTGATGCACATGCACTCCATATACCAAACACAAAACCACGACTGCAAATACATTAAAACAATTTATAAAACAAAACACAATAGAAATCATAACTCAAGAAGAGAGTTCTAAATCCACATACAAATTCTTGTTCATTTGCATAAACTTCAACTCTGATTTTCTTGGTCAGATTTTTTTTCAAAAGTTTCTTTAACACCTGAGCAACTTTACCTCAATGTTTCATAAGTAATATACAATATTTGTCTGTGATCTGTATGAGGTTTAAAACAGCTCGCTGTTTTAAATCCTCATACAGATCGCCTGCTCATATTATATTTATTACATATAATCCTGTGGTTTTTCATTTTCTACAGACATCCTACTTTTGAGACATTTCCCACACAACTGAACAAGCTTGGCAACTCAGCTTACTGATGTACACTGTAGCTGTTTAATATTAAATTTCATACATTTTTCAATTTTGTCGGCCTGTTACTGTCAGTGGATCCCTGCTCCATGGCCACTTGCTTAATAAGACCATTCCATCATAAGGGCCTAATTTTTTGCTCCTCTCATTTAAATTAAACTCCCCCAACTTTTTTTACCCTGTTAATATAGCCAGCCTGTCAATATGCCACTTTTTGGCGTCCCTTCAATGGCTAGATTAATGACATTCCATTGTATTTTGGTCATCTATGATGAGGTTCTGTCATTTTTGAAGACCTTTGCATTTTATATGATGAGTAAAGAATGTTGTAATTACAGTACTGTAGCTGTAATTATAAATAGTTTTTTGATGTCTATCGCCATGCATTGTCAAGCTGTCTCAAAGCTGCCACATATTATGTGAAAGTTTATGACTATCTAAATTACAGTATGTAAATGTTTAGTTTTTTAATGATTACATATGTGTGATAATTATTGCAATGAATATCTTCAATATAAAATCAGAGTTTTGATTGACAGAGTGAAAAACACAAAATGGTTACGGTTCACAGAAAATGTAAAACCACAGTAAGAATCAAATTAAGACATGCTTATGCACAGTTGTACAATAAGTGAATGTACCTTGATTTACCAAACCAGTTTCCCATGACAGCAACAGAGGATGGCCAACCTGCAGACTGACATATCCCTAACAAAACAAAAACAAACAAGAATAAATTAAAAAATAAATCTAAAACTACAATAACATTCAAACCATTAACTTTTTTAATGTTTTGGTCACAAACAGCCTCTTACAATGTTTGTACATAACACAATGCAACTTAAACAACACAAGTTGTGTAAAACTTTCAATTAGTCAAGTGAAGCATTATGTGTATCAGATCAGTACTTGTAATTGCTGTTTATTCAGCTCTACGAAGAGTGCCTTTTTATCTTTTACTAGATTAAGACATGCCATGTGTGTAGACATTGTATACATACCATTTAGTGCCATAAATGCACCATAATACCAAATATTTTGAATATTCAGCCATTTACTGACAGTGCCAAACATAAACACCTGGTTGAATAATATCAAAAAAATAGATATCACCACTATTACATGTAGTGCACCTGCACAGAACCAATCATAGGACTATACTGCATTGTACATAACTAAACATCAGAATATTCAAAGAAAAGATGGAGTTATTTTCAAAACAAATTACCATTATTGCTGATGAACACATTCCAAGTGAAAGGACTTTCCTTAGATCAAACCTTGATATATAGAACAAAAATTGGTTCATAGCTATTTATTGATACTATCAAGGTGTGCACAAATGTCCATGAGAAATTCATTAGCAGTTAGAAACATGCAAGATTCTACACTAACAACCTAGTTGGCTAAAGACCAGCATAAAGGAATTTATTTTTATTTTATAAAGTTCATCCCAAGAGCTCAAATGGTTCAACTAGGGGAATTACCAATATGTCAATATTTACCAAAATAATAAAGCTCACAAATACAAACAGACAGAGTTTACAAAGCCCTGAAAAATCTGGTTTGATAATCTTAGTTTGGTTGATAAATGTCATTACAGCAATAACAATCTGAGAATTAATCGTAGGAATATATTTAAGGTGAAGTACCCTTACTATAAGTTTTAAACGTACACAATTAGCGGTACATTCAGTGAAAACTAGTTTCGTTCAAAAACCTCTTCTGTCAGTTCACTAATGAATACTTGATTATTGCCCGACCAGAAKAACAAACAGAGGGAGATGTCTGTTAATGACAGTTGTGGCATGGAGGAAAGAAAGGTTTAAAACGGTTTGCTGCATAGAACAAAGCTACAAGAACAGCTGATAGGAACGCTAAATGTTAATGTGAAATAGTTAAGTAGATCATTTTATGTAATGTTTTGCTTAGTACGTTCTTGTTGTGTCTCTTGAGAATTGTAAATGTCTTAAAGTCTCTTGTTTTTGCATATTAATTTTGTTCTCTTTCATTGTTTACCATGTAGAGCATAGTATATTGTTTTGTAAGTATTATTTTGTTTTTTCTTCTTTCACTTATAGATTTATAGACTGTTCATCGTGGTTGCAATTTTTTGCCTTGATATATCTACATGTAGGAACCATAACCGTATCATAATGTAACTTAAGAAACCCGAGAATCTGACGAGTTTGGAACTATGCTCGCCTCCTGTCAATCTAAAGTAAACTGCAACTATACTAAACATTGTTTGTTGGTTGAAGCTCTGAAAGTAGCCCTGCTGTTCATCATAAGCAATCATGTGTATAGCTTCAAAAAGAAGTGAAGAAGCAGCAAAAGGGAGGCGCCATAGGATTGTAGAATTAACGGGAGTACTAGCCCAATTATTTATGGTCTGGTGGGACCGAAAGTCAAAGTGCATAACAACAAACCTTGGTTTGAAGATCCACATGTATCAATGTTATGTGGAATATGGTAATGGAAGCACCAGAACATGGCCTAAGGTACATAGATGGAAAGCTGTCTATTGTTGATGGTGAAAGGGAGGTTGACAAAGGAAAGAAAGCGGATGAAAGATCTATGAGTCTACTACAGACAATCGGTAATTCCATACATAAGTCGATTGAAATTACTGTTGACTTTCCCTCTAATCACGACAATGGGAAGTTACCAAAATTAGATGTGAAGGTATGGATCGAGGAAGAGAGAATAATTATGGACGAGGAAGGGAGAGAGAATTACAACTGTGTCCTCCACGAGTTCTATTCTAAGGATGTGTCATCAAAATCAGTCGTCAATGCGAGATCAGCACAACCATGGTCAGCAGGGAGAACGATTCTTACACAAGAAGTGTTACATTAAGTGTTACAGCGAAACACGTAACCAATATGACCAAGAGAATGCAACATTCTAGATATACCAAGAAATTCAGACACGAGGTTGTTGATTCTGCACTGAAGGCATACAATACCATGAAGTTGAAGGACCGATCAGGAGAGGAGTTAATGTTGAGACCGAAAGAATGGAAAAGAAAAGAGAAGGAGGTAAACAAACACCTTTTAATGTGTTTAAAAGAAGCAGACATGGTTCAGGAAAGGAGGGTACAGCAGTGTGATTTTTGTGCCTGCTACCCCCAATTTTGAGTTGAAAGTAAACCTTGAGAAGGATGTAAGGGAGTCAGGGATAAAGATAAAGATTGTTGAGAAGCCTGGAGTTAATGTGTGAAAAGAATATTTCAATGTTCGGATCCTTTTAAGAACAGGAAATGCAATAAGGAAGACTTCTTTGTGTGCACAACAGGGGGAAGAGTCATTGCAATGCTCCTAATGCCATATATAAGATTGAGCATAAAGAATGCCATCAGACATACATAGGAGAAACATCACATTGTACTTATGCAAGGGAAAAGGAACACATCAAGGATATGGACTTATAGAAGGATAGATCTGTACTGTGGAAGCACGCGAGAGAAAAGCATGATGGAAAGATACCCGAATTTACGAGTCGAGTAACTGGAGTGCATAATAGGGACTCCCTACTGAGACAAGTTAGCGAAGCCATGATGAACACTAAAGAAAAACCAAAAATGAACAGTAAAGAAGAATGGAACTTTTTGAACATTCTGCGCACAAAAATCACTTAAATGTGAGTGTGCGCACGCTCCATTAGTGTTTGTTTGTTTTTATTGGTAAATGAACTTTCATTAGTGAACTGAAGAGGTTTTTGAACTAAACTAGTTTTCACTGAATTTACCGTTTATTGTGTACGTTTTAGACTTATAGTAAGGGTACTTCACCTTAAATATATTCCTACGATAATGAAAAAGTCTTTTGAAGTCAAACTTAAAACAATTTCAGAAAAATCTGAGAATTATCAGCAAATCAAAGAATAGCATTGCCTTTATGGTGTTTCGATCATAATAAATAGCATTTCACACGTATTTTTAAAATCCAACTACGGTGCAAATTTCGATTCAATTGCACTCAAACTTTCACAGAAGTCACAGTGATTATCGATAATTCTTGTTGATAAATTAATTTGCCAAAAGGGACCCCATTTGGATAAACGATGCAAACTAAAACACCTTCATTTTTCTTCAAAATTAATTTTCTCAAAACTCATCGTAGAGATTGTAATAAAATTTTCAGAATCATTTCTTAATAACATAATTGATATACTGACGAAGTTTCAATAAAATCTTAACCTAAAATTTCGAGTTGATTGAGCAAAATGATGTACAATCGAACAACTCGAAATTTTAGGTTAAGATTTTATTGAAACTTCGTCAGTATATCAATTATGTTATTAAAAAATGATTCTGAAAATTTTATTACAATCTGTGCAATTAGTTTTGAGAAAATTAACTTTGAAGAAAAATGAAGGTGTTTTTATTTTGCATCGTTTATCCAAATGGCTTYGYTTTTTGGCMAATTAATTTATCAACAAAAATTATCGATAATCACTGTTACTTCTGTGAAAVTTTGAGTGCAATBGAATCGAAATTTGCGACGTAGTTGGAGTTTAAAAATACGCGCGAAGCACTATTTAGTACGATCGAAACACTTTAAACACTTTTAAAAATATTGACTTTTTCCAGACACCTTGACCAATTCCAAATACTACCTGCTGGATATTTGACTGAGGAGATTAGATCYAAGCAACACAGCTTGAGCAACATGGTGAATCACAACAATTATTAACAATTATTACAAGTAAGAACATTATTCAGTTGTTTTTGAAATAACCTACCTGTCCCCAAGAATTCCACTAATAAAAAGACCCTAAAATTAACAATGAATCAAAATGTCACTTAGTATGTCTATGGTAGACTATTATATGCACTGACACAATGTCTCCATACAGACATTATTTTTARAATTCATGATGATGACTGTGATCCAAAATGAGTAGTTTGCTTGATATATATTTTTCATTTCACACTGTATAGGATAACATATTAATGTTTCATACTGTAAATTTTGAATCCAGGTCTACATTGCAGGTTACACCAACATTTCCTTATAGAGTGCGATGTACTTACAATGGCATATGTTGATAAGAATGTAGTATCCATAGCTCCAAGAAACAATGCAGCACTTTCCTGTATTAGATCAAGACATAATATATATTATTTGAGTTATTGTTTAAGTTTAATCCTTATGATAATTTATACTATAAGGCAGCCAAAGTAATGATTCTACATAAATACATGCACTAGCAATCCAGCCCTCTTGAAACACAAAAACCTTACTATCTGTAAAAGAATGTATACAAATGTAGCCAAGGCTGCTATGATGTTGAAAATGTATATTGTGAATCCAAGCTTTCGCTGTACTACAGCATCATCAGGGAATAACAACAAGAAGAATATTATCCTTGACTAATAATCATGCTGCTAAAGGATACCTTCACTTGTCTTACTATCTATAATACAAACCTTTAGTATATTTCCATTCACACAGTAATACAAAACATAATATACATGCAAGATCATTTCACAAATCTCTTACCTCTGACTTGAAAAAGTGAACTGACTGCCAAACCTGTGTACAGCATGCACATATCAAATATTACATAATGAACATGAAATGCATATAATTCTGTGGGGAAGAAGTCTTGGATAAACACAAACTGCAACAGCAACAACAACAGCAACAACAACAACAACAACTACAAAAATAAAAATAAACCTCACAATCAAAATAACATAAATTGAGATTTTTTAGTAATGTCTTAAAGGGCTATGTACATGTTTCCACTTTTCTTACCCTTATTATGATGAAAAAAAAAGATGGATGTAGAAATATTTATTATCTGTCTTTGTGTATAACATAATAATCATTTGCAAATTGCATAAAATGTAACCAGTTTGAATGAAAGTTTTATGCAAATAAGTCCAATATAATAAAAAAAATGAAAAAAAATTTATAAGTATTGCAAGGTAAATGAGGGAACTGATTTATCACTAGATCTTTCTCTGAAAATAACTTACTTTGCCTGGTTCTATTGGATTGGTTGTGTTGTATGGCGTCCATTCCTGGCGCAATGTGTCTTTGATATTACTAAATGCCTTGCGTGTAGCATGAAAGCATGCATAGCTACAAAATTAACAATAACAACAATAAATCAGCAATCTCATGATGAAASAGCATAATGATACTGTATCTAGAAGTTATTGAAGAACTAGGACTGCTTTATGCATTCAAAAAACTTATAAACCATCTTTTTTAGCATTTATTATTTTTTTAGCATTATATAAAACTAGGGAATGTTTCAAAACATCAAAATATTTTAAATATTTACAAATATCCAAAAAAAAGAAGACTGAGACACATTGTCATTGACTAAGTCATACAAAACAGGGATACATGTATGTCAATTCATTCCTAAGTTGAATTCACTACCAGTTATATTATATTTTTCCTTCTCTTTGTAGAAGGGTGCTGGATAAATTCCTTTGCTTGCAGGGTACATTGGGTTGATAAGTTGTCAAAATCTTGTCAAATAGCTTGTTTCAACAGTAACAGTATATAGAATTATACAAGATTGATTTCATACTGGTCAGCAAGCATACCAAAAATTTTTCTTTCAGTTAGTATTTGGGGTGCTTGATTTATAAAGTACATGTATAACAAGTCGATTGGCCATTTTATCAATTTTACATTAAAACTTTTTTTATCTTTTTTTACCAAAAAACGTTAAAAGATACTTGTTTATAAAACTAAGKTCTTTACAGATGAATCTTACATAACAATACCATTGTAGTTCTGGTTAAACAAGTGTTTTACTGCGTTGCGATCATTGTAAATAAGGCAATGTTTGGCATGTTAAATAAAGTTAAACTAAGTTCATTCATCATCTTGCAATTATATAATGTTAACTTATGATTAAGTTATATAATGTGATATCAAAGTAGTAGTAGAAATCATGGGATATCATGATTGATATATTTGGTCAATTCCATATTGCGGACATTACCTTCAGAGGCAAAATATGGCTACAAAACTGTTCACAACTTCTAACTGTAGCAAGCTAGGTGGATCAAACTTTGCTATAATTAAGCTCAAGGGGGCCCTCACACTATGTATATGAAAAACACCAGATACCTCCTTTCCCTCCTTAGATATTTTATTAATAGTGACTGTTGCAGACATTACCCTAAAAACAACCATGTATTCAAGTGACTGCTTTTAAGCTAGAATTGCTGTGAATTTGTGAAAAGCTTCCAAGAGACTAAAACTCTGATTTAATGGCCATTAAAACTTTATTATTTCTATAATTGTGGAA